GATAAACGTGGATTCAGAGGATGATATTAGAGATTTGTCTCAGACATTTTTTTTGGATCCGATAGGGATCTTGTGAATGATCGTCCTACTGACAATACCTCGGTGAGGAACAACGATGGACATGAGGGTTCTGATTCACCTAGTGAAGTTCCATTTACTAAAAGTAAACTGATCACTAAACAAGAAAAAGATTTGCAGATCACTTCACTATTTGAATATGCACTCCCAAAAGATGAACTGGAGAAAATGACAAATGGTTATTTTTTTCAAAAACTGTGTGCTTATGAGGAAATGGAGACTACCAGATATGCCAGCTTCAGAGGACTGGGCTATTGTTCTTCAAGTCGTTGTTCCCAAAGCATATCGTTCAGAAATACTGAAAGTTGCCTATGAAATTCTCATGGGAGGTCATTTTGGTATTAACAAGACATGTGACAAAATTATAGGATATTTCTTTTGGCCAAAATTAGACAAGACATTTATCAAGTTTGAAAAGCATGTCATACCTGTCAGTTGGTCGGAAAGTCTAACCAGAGAAAGAAAAAGACAAAGAAAGACAGAAAGTGAGAAAGAGAGAGAGAGAAAGAAGAAAAAAAAAAAGACAGAAAGAAAGAAACAGAGAAAGAAAGTTTATCACTCTGATAATATGGTTTGAAGATAATTCATGTCATAAGGGTTGACAACATTTTTCCCGATGTACTTTCATGTGCTATGAAATTTTATGATCATAACGTTCTTTATATATTAGTTATGTTTTACACTGTAATTATTATTGAAGTTTTCTAATCTTTTGAATAATGTATTATATATATAATGTATTGTTGCCAATGTATATATATAATATTTTAGTTAAAAATTGTCTAAAGCCAATTTTTAATTCTCTAAGGAGGGAGTTGTAACGAATTTGTTGTTATGTATTTATTTTAATATGAACGTTGTTTAGATTAAGTTTATATTTAGAAACATACATAGCTTATACTGTTAGATAGGTATTACGAAACTCCCGCCTGTTCTCCAAAGTTGTAGAAGATTCACGAAAGTAAGAATCAACAATATATGTAAATGCGTAAACATTTAAAATGTAACTTGCATTGTTACGTAAGACTGAAATTTCTAGAACGCCTCCACACAGGTATAAATACAACCAACGCGACGCACCAACAAGAGAGTGTCTATTATTAGTTCGCTATATATATCGGTGCGCTATAAAATTTCGAAAACTATAATTGTGATTGTTATAACGTTTATCAATCGGAAAGCTTAAGATATCTGACCAGAAATATTTATAAATTTCGAACGTTACAAATCATTTAACTTCAGTTGATTCTCGTCGGACATTAGCAATTTTACGAAGACATATAAATTCATCGTGGAAAACCTAGTGTGTGCGGCCAAGGACTAAGCTAGCTAGTTTCCCAGCGGATCGTATCTACATCAACTCGTAATTAGTTAGCTCGTTGTGAATCCTCGATAAAATATCAAGGAGGTTCCAGACTAGAAAGAAAACTTTATATTGTTTGTAAGTTTGTAAAACTTCTGTTTATAAATCATTGTTTGTAGTAACTATTTGTAATAATTGTTATTGTAAATTGTACTGTTGTGTGTATATTAAAACGTATTTGTGTTAAAAACGAAAACGGTGTGTATATCAATCTTCTTGGCAAATATCGTAATTGATTAATATATCCGCATTTATTCAAATACTAAATGCAAAGTACAATTTAACTACTGAACTTAAATTATTTAACTCAGCTTCGGACTATTCGAAGTTCTAATACGTAACACTGGGTGTTTTCTAATTGAAACATCAAGAAAAGATATCTGATTATTACATTATAATTCATAAGTGAATTGTATGTCTGGATGAAATGTGCCTAAATTTATGAAACTATTTAATGTAGTCATCAATATATCATACAAAGAGATCAGGTTTTTTATCCGGTTCATTGAACTTATTTTCAACGTCATGAAGCAAGATTTGTGAAAGAGGGAACTGTGGATTGTCAATGCACAGACAGTGATTTTATTGAAAAATATGCATATTGAACTGGAAATATGAGTCACTGACACACCTAAACTAGGTATACAAGCTAATATTTTATAATAGGCAAGGGAAAACTTTCATCTAATCTTTCAGATAATGCATTTAGGGCTTTATTGAAACTTTAGTGAACAAGGTTTCATGCCGAAGGACATCGTAAGTTTCTTTATTGTTAACTTCGTAACAAACTTTTTGGATTCTATTTACAGTATATTTATTTGAATCTATTAGCAATAACAGTGAAAGATAATATTAGACCACTACAAACAGAGAATATTTTACATTCCCTCTTGTGTTAGTCAAACAAAATAACCTTCTTCATTTAAAGGAACAAAGGTTACTTTCGTCACGAGAACACTGTGGAACCTGCTTTATCATTACATGTTCGTACAAACAACCTCAATCACTTTCAATCAAATATCACTGCTAAACCAAAGTTATATGAATGCAATACACAATAAGAGATAGAAGTACTTAAAAACGGAAAAAATATAATCAGTAGCGAAACAGGATTTGAACTATTTAGAAGTCTAATTCAATGACGAGGAACCCACTTTGAGACTAATAATGGTTGA